GGGCTGGGCCCATGCTGGCTCCCAAAGGTACAAGCCTCAGGGTCACTTGATTCTTTTCCTAAGAACCCTCTTTCTCATACCAGAGTAATTTTAAGCAGGTATATGGCAGTTTTCTCATAAAATTAAGCCTAGGAAAAATAGCATGCTGTAAAATACTGACTTTAACAACCACTGTGCTAGACATGCCTTAAAAAGTATTGCCCACCCCGTCTTCTCCTTGCGGACTGTGAAGTGTGTTTCTGATTTGTTTTCCAGGGCAGCCTTCGGCAAGGAGTCAGAAGTTCTTATTGGGAATCTGGGTGATAAATTAATCCCTCCCCAAGATATCCTCCGTGATGTCAGTGACCTCAAAGCCTTGGCCAACATGCATGAAAGCCTGGAATGGCTAGCAGCTCGAACAAAGTCTGCTTTCTCCAACCTTTCTACATCTCAGAGTAAGTATCTGGTGTGGCAGCTGCTGTGGGGACAGCTGAGGAACTAGACTGAGTACTCTCATTTGGAATGTAGCGTATATACGTGTCGCCGTGTGGGGGGCATGGCCAGGCTGTCAGAAGATCTGAGCTAGATCCGTGCCAGAATTCTGCTTGGGCTACACCTCATGTACTTTGTGATTCTGCAAAAAGGAGTAATCTTGGCTTCCCTGTGTGGGGCATGGAAGGCCAGGAAAGCTCCATGTTAACATAGCTTGATAGTAAACCTTAGAAACATAAAGCAGTGTAAAAATGAACCCCTGTGTCTCAAGAACAGAAAGCAACGCCATTTGCCCCCCTTAACAATTTCTCAACTGTAGAATCTGTGTCTCAGAGCTGAGCCTTCATTGTAACTGATAGAAAGTGAATGAAAAAGTGTCTAAAAAGAGAATAGAAGTGGTTAAGGTGCTAGAAAAATAGAGACAAAGAGAAAAATAATTACTCTGGAAAAGAGATGGCTGGAAGATAATTATGGAATTCAAGGAAATTAAGGAAAAAGATATGAAATAAAAATGAGAAGCTTTTTTTCTGTCAAGGACCAATAGTCAAAGAAAAACAATTTGAAAACTTAAGGGCACATAAACTTTTTCAATAACTGTAAAATAAATACTTTTAATGGCATTAATTCAGAAGTATATGTTAGTTAAAATAGAAGCAAAGAAAAAATACGATAAAGGAGATGAAAGATTTGAATGCATAAATGGAGAGATGGGAACAGAACAGAAAAGTAAACAATAGTAGCAGTCCCATGTAAGAAACAAAATCAGCTCTGAATTTAATATTAGAGTTAACTGTTAGAAGATTACTGAGAGGAAAATGCTTACATTATTTGAACTCTGATCCTCAACTAAGTTATTTATTATGATTTTCTTTTGAAAAGTTATTACTTGATTAGCCACGATTTCCAGCCTTGAGATTGAAGAGTATGGATGAAATTCACAGGCATGAGTTATTCCTGGAAATACAGGCACCCTAGGCAGTCTTGGAGGCCTGTGAATGCTTTACTATTCCAATTATCTCACACTGATTATGTAGCTATCCTGAGGGTCAATAGTGGGTGGAGAATGGATGGGACGAGGGCTTTTGAGCAAATTTATACTTTAGAAATCTGCTTAAAATACTACTTTTTATTTATTCTTTTATACTTCTTCTTACATAAAATGTTACTTTTTAACTGCTGATAAAATTATACTTATTTTCAGAGTCTGTAGGAAAAGAAAATGTATCCACCTATTAAGGATAGTTTGAGCATAGTATTGAATCCGAGCAGACTCTGCTTAAGTAGGAATCCTCAGGCACTCAATTTCATGATCCCATCACATAAGGCAGTCTGTTACAAGCAGTAGTCTGAATTATCCATTTTCTGTCCCACTTCACTCCCCCAAAGAAAAAAAGTCAGGAAGTGCCGATTCCCTTTTGCTAATTGCCAAGTAGACAGCTCTAAAAAGGGACCACATGCCTCTTTTCTTGTAGTTGCCTTTGACTTTTGCAAATTCAGAGCTGCTTGTATTGGTTTATTAGTGATGACTGGAAGGGGTCTTCACATTTGGTGGACCATCAGCATCTAATATTTAATATGCAACCTCTCGTTTCCAGTGGCACAGCATTCCAGATTTCTGTCCATCTAAAAGAGCTCCACCTGGCGAGGTAGCAGTAACCTCTATAGCAAGCCACTGAGTGATTCACACAGGCTCACCTGGCATCAACTGTTTCCAAAAAGAGAATGATACTGTCTGCATTATGCTCAACTTCATAACTGCACGATTTGGCTGTTGTGTTGATGTCACTAAGAGTACCCAGTCCAGTCGATGCCTAATTGCTGTCTTTAATCATCTCTGTTATTCTAACAGAGATCTCTTCTACCCCATGCCCATTAATACTTTGTCTCATGTGCTCAATTCCATTTTGTCGTGTTAGTTGTACCCTCTCAGTTGCTTTCAGGGTGATTATTCCACCCAGTGAGTGATTTAAGTGACTGTCAGCATTTTGATGATCAGTACAAAACCCAACTGAACTGTAATCACTACTTTTGCTGTCTTTGCTAAAACAAAGCATCGAGCAAACCTGACTTATTCTAACAACAAGCCTCGCTCACCCAGACTCTTCTGTTCTTTGAATTCCCAGGACAGACACCCACTGATGTTCATAATTCGAACAAAGCAGAGAATTCTCTGATGATGGGTTACTTTGACTTCTTCATGTCAAGGTGACTCTAGAAAGGGAATTAGGGACATCTCTTTATTATTCTTGTGAAAAGTGAACCAAATAATCACCTCCACAAAAGTGTTTCCAAGTCTGGAGACTGGATAGCATAAATAAAATGCCAGCCTTTTATCATGGATACTCAGCAGGACGGAAAGAAATCAAGAAAAGATTTTAGGTTTATTTCTGGTTCCGCATCCTGTTAACTGTTTGGTGTGGTAACTACCCTGCCTTATTATACTTGACAAACTATTACTATAATGGAGTAAAGGAAGTTGGCAGAAAATTATTTTCATAATAGAATATCTGTTTAGATATTACAACAGGAGTTTTAACCACCTGAAACATTTCCTGCCATTCTGAAGAGAGTATTGCATTTTAGCCCCTGGGGATGGTTGGCCATTTGTCCAAGAGATAAAAGTTGATCATTTTTTTAGAGATAGTTTTTCCATCTCTTTTGGTGTTTGCCTATGTGTCACTCTGTCCTCTGCATGTAAAAGGCTCTCCTCACCTCACAGATCCTGGCCGCACCGAGATGTCACCTGTTCTTTCATCCTATGGCAGTCCATGGTCCCTGTGCCATTCATTCTGCTGGCCCAACCCCCCCATCTTCCTTATATTTTTATGCTTAAAACTCTTTCATGGAAACTCACAGACTGATTGAAGGAAAAAACTGGTAATATTCTTAAACCTGATTGATCAAAAGACTTCAGGTGTGGTTGGATCTAGAAGTTTGCAAGATAGCATCACAGACATGTTTAGCTACCTGTGCACATTCTCTCGGTCACTCTCTTTCTCAGTCTTTATCTCTTGGTATTTTCTCTTTATTCTTTTCTATCTAAATAAGCACTTTCCATGTGGCAATATCCTTGGCCACCAGCAACTCCAGGATTATTTGATCCCAGACCAAAAGAGCATTTTTGCCAAGAACCCCAGAAACAGCCCCAGAGAGGACTTGAAATGAACCAACTTGACCTTCTCTCGTGGGTCCCTCTGGTTCTCATCTTACAGGCCTTGTTCTCTGAGTCTGCCTTTCTCCCCACAACTCAGCCTCTGTCTCCCACTCCCACTTCTAAAATTCCCTTTTTTTTTTTTAGGATCTTTTCAGCACAAGGAAATTGAGCAGGATCATATTTAGCATCAGGCCTTCAAGGTCTAGGTTAAACATACTTTCCCCCACTGATCACAGTTTCATCTCGTGGTACTCGCACAAGATAATGTCTGCCCTTTGTAATGTCCGCTGTGTATAAGAATCCTAAATAAAGGCTCTGATCTGGGCTCCGATGTTATGGTTAAGAAAATTGAAAGCAAAACGTGACCTACATAAAAATAGTTATAGTGTAAAAAAAAACAGTAATGATTTTCTTTTGTATTGTATCCTTTTGTTTTGTAGATGTATCACTTTTAGAAAGACTACAGAGAATTGAAAGGGAGCTCAAGGGCTTATATTTTCTGCATTGCTTCAGGAGGTGGGGGTGCAGTGGCAGGGGAGACCTTCCTTTCTGCCTTGGATTCTGTTAAAAATCTCCAGGATTAGAGATTCTAAAACTTCCTTGATTGTATACTCTGCTCTTCAAGCACCTGCCCTTTGGGAGGCCATCTTTTCTTATTAAGTCCCTTTGCTTCAGCCTCTAACCCTCCTTCCTCTGTCCCATTCCTCAGAAATTAAACATTGAGTATTTTCTCTATAAAATAATGTATCTGAAAACATTTCCCTGGCCTCTACCTGCCCATCTCTGGATATTAAAGATTTTTGGCCTAAAGATCCCACTCTCTGAGTCAAAGAGAACCAAATCTAGCAGATTAGGAGCCCAGATCAGGCCCAAGTTCACTCACACTCTTGGATGGTGATTCTGCTATTAGCCTTTGCTAATAGGGGCTTTGTTGCAGGTTCTTTTGGTACAACGTAGCCTCCTCTGGTTCCCTCAGTTCCCATTACTGAAGTTCTTGCTGAGCTCACATGTACAGATAATGAAAATTAATAAAAGGGATAACCTAGTCTTTTTCAGTCTGCAAAGCCAAAGGGTTAACCATCCCTCTAACATCCAGGGCAAATAATATCATATTTGTTCAGGAATTGTAGTATTAGTTATAGAATTATTTATATACTTTTGTGATGAGAAGTACATAATATAAAATACACCATCTTAACCATTAAATGTCTAGTATAGTGGTGTTAAATATATTATTGCACATCAGTGTTCTAGAACTTTTTCATTTTGCATAACTGAAACTCTCTATCCATTTAACAGCTCGCTTTTCCCCCCTCTTACTCAGCCCTTAATAGCCACTTTCTACTTTCTATGAGTCTGATTACTTTAAGTACTCTTATGTAAGTAAAATCACACAGAATTTGTCCTTTTGTGACAAGTTTATTTCACTTAGAATAATGTCCTCTAGGTTTATTCATGTTGTAGTGTAGGGCAGGGTGTCCTTCTTTAAAGCTGAATAATATTCTTTTACACCTCATTCTCTTTATCCATTCATCTCTCAGTGGACATTTAGGTTGCTTCTACCTCTCAGCTATTGTGAATAGTGTTACAGTGAACGTGCATATGCAAATTATATTCATTTTTTAAAGTAATTCTTAGAAATCACTCAGTCCAACTCAGTCATTCTGCACATGAGGAAATTAACGTTTCAGAATGGTCACATTGCCTGCTGTGCCTGATGGGATGGAAGCAGATCTTCAAGTTCCCAATTTAATTTTCTCTTTACCATATTGTTGTCTTGACCAGTACCCAGGTTAACTGCTGGCAGTG